CAGTTGAGGCATTGGAACATGCCGTTGCGAAGAGTCGCAAAGACCATGAAGCTTTAGAGAAGAGGTTGAACAATCTAATTCGAAGGAATAGAAAGATGGTCGGGGAGAAGAATGATAAGGGAATTAAGGTTGATGCTTACTAGCAGTGAGTTCCGTGACACCTTCCTGTGTGTGACGCGGTTGCTTTGTGGTGGCTGTCTAGTGTGAGTTCAGGAGTCTATGAGGTAAAGATAGTTTCGGAGATGGGTTTTTCATTCCTCTCTCGAATTCCTTCAAAAGTACTCTTAATTCATATGGCAGTACTGCCGAGAAATGTGTAAAGGGACATGAGGAGGGTTGGTGTCGCAGTTCTCTCTTTCTTCCCCAGTACTCATACTCGATGGTCGTCTATGGCGGCAAGGGGGGTAAAGCAACGGAGTTGGTCTGGATAATGATCATGATTCTTATGTACAATACTTCACAAGCATGCATGCGGATACCAATTGGTTGTAAGCGCTGTATTATAGTAATTACGCGTTAGATAGAGTGCAAGATCCAATAAAAACTACTTATATGTAGGTGCGCGTACGGTGGTATGTTTGTTTCGCTTCTCGTAAGCTCTACAAGGCAACTCCGCCAGCAAGTGACCAAACTATTGCTACTACCAAATATTTTAATGCTCGATAAATGGATGACATATCCTCAAGTCTCAACGCCTTTCTTCTTACCCCTATTCTTGTCCAATTTTGCGCTTGTAATTTTCACCCATAAATGGTTCCGTCAACCCTTGACCTCGCGAGGCCAGTTTTATACCTGTTAATGGAGCGTCTGACTTTAGTCTCTATATATATCATGAACTAGCTTCTATTGAAAGAGAGTGAAAGGAGAGTATAGCTTGCTACGGAACGTGTGATGTGTATCGTTAACGTCTCATCAGATCACTGAACGCTTCGGCATATAACGAAGGTTACTCTATTCTTGAAATAACCAAACAATCATCTCATATCTCTGAGGCTTTTTGATGATATGACTGCTTTCACCGAAGATAGTGAAGCTCTGACTATTGTTTTTTTTTTTTTTCCTTCCATTGTGTTGTATTATCTACAATACTGCGCAAGCAGTCTTCAAGCTATGGCGCAACTCCCTATACACATCAATCCCTTTTCAGGACCCTTATATGCTTAGTGAAGTCTTCAGTAGCTTAACCCGCTGATATTTTATATGTAAAGGAAAGTTAGTACGTTTAAACTCTATGTAAAGGAAATTATTGAAAAACCATTTTTCTTCCTCTTTACCATCTCTTTTCTATTTCCAGTTCTATGCCATGCATCTTGTTATCTTCTGTAGACTCTACTCTACACTTCTACTCTGTCTACATCTCCTGTGTGCATCAGCCATCTAGCAGTAGAGATTTGAGTTCTTCTATATACTTAAATAACACCTGTTTGCCTAACTTTGTGCAAAAAAGCTTTGCCATTGTTAACTTTGTATCTTAGCTGCCTCCTCATTTCCTTACGCTCTTTTTGAGTAGTTTGCACAATGTAAAATAAAGTTTGTTGGTATTTGGAGTGATTGACAGTCTTTAAAGCACTTCCATTCTTCATCTTTGCCAATTAATTACCTTAGAGTAAGACTTGAAGAATCCAATACGACCCCACTTTTGATTTTACCCAAATCCACTGCTCCATACCACTTCCTCGATACACACAAAGAGTTTAGCCGACACACAGTCTTACATACAATCCTCGACCCATCCATCCTAACACCGCAAGCATGGCGCTTTTAGGCTTGCCTAATGAATTACTGATAGAGACCTTCGGGCTTTTTGATTCCGGTTCTTTGTTTTCTCTCATGCAGGTATCCCACAATATCAGTGACGCTGCGAAGGTCACCCTGTACAGGGACATAGACGTACCAAATTCCAAACCGGTCCTTCGCCATCTGTTCGTCACACTCCATCGCGCGCCGAAATTATAGAATATTATACAGTCGTTTACAATGCGGCTGACAAATGGGAAGGTTAATTCCTCAGTGCGCCGTAACCAAAGAGAGTATATTGCAGCAGTACAGGAAACAGCTGAGCTCCCAAATTTCCGGAAGGTAGCTGACTCTGATACTGGCTTCGACAAGCACAAGGGCACCGTCATCGGATGTCTAGAATTGGTGGATAAAGCCTTCTATGTTATGTTATTTTGTCCCATGGCACCCAATATAGCAAAATTGGACATCAGCGTCAAGCAGGACTCAATACCATGCTCAATGATACTCTTAGAAAGCCTCAGGCATGGTAAACTTGCCCCACATTTACAGCGCATGTACTACCGTCCTGACAATATGATGAAATACACACAGGTATGAGCTAAGGTAGTAGATAGAAGGGTAAGAGTGTTCATTGATTGTCAACTATCCGGAGTGGGTGCCTGTGCTATCTTATAGTATTGTCTGCTCAACCATCTCACTTATCCTTGTCCCCAACCATCTGATATTGTTAGATGGTGAGGCTCGCTACCGGGTAAATGGATGCTTACTGGTACAAAACAGTGGTGAAAACAATGGTATGGAACGGTAGCTTGAGACAGAGCGTCAAACCGTATTAAAACAGATCTCTGACGAGAACACGGATCTGTGGTGTTTTATCTGTTCTCTTTCTGACCCAGTATCATTGTCAACTGTTCAGTATATAGTCCATATCTCTCTCAGTAGTTGCAAATCAAGCGACATATTCCATGCACCTGCAGATCCAGTTTATCTCACAGTAGTCTAATTGTCTGCTGATTATCACAGAATAAGAGCTGTTTATTGTCTGGATGGAAGTTTAGAGATTTGAAGACTCTCCACCACCAGATAAGTTCTGTGCCTGCAGTGGATGCGGCCATGAGTTCAGCCTCAGTGGTTGATTTTGTAACACAGCGTTTGAGTGTTGCCTTCCAGTCAATTGGAACTCCAAAGAGGAAGAAGATGTAACCCTGTGAGCTCTTTCGAGTCGCTTGGTGATCCGCATAAGAGGCATCAGTTGCGCCAAAGAAATCGGGTTCTTCGTGGTCCTGAATAAAGGCTGCGTCTGCTGTAATTGAGGCATTGTAAACGAGTGATTTTGATTTTGTATAGTAGAGGTAGGCTAGAGTTTGGTATGCAGCGTTAATGTGAGTTACTGCAGGATTGGTTAAGAACTCAGCAAGTTTGGAGTGTGCTTTTGAGATATCTGGTCTTGTTGCTCCGGCTGCATAGCCTATTGATCCGACCAATTGAGCGTAGCGTAGATAGTTGCTTTCGTTTTTAGTCTCATTAGACGGAAGGAGCTCCTCTGCCTGCAATGGCGTTTGAGGTGATTTTGTGAATGCTTTTGGGGATGGATATTTGTGGTAGATCTTATCGATATAGTCTCCTTGATTTAGCCAGATAGAGCCATTGTCTCTGTCTCTATGCACGGTTATGCCGTAAAAGGTCTTGAGATCTCCTAGTGAGTGGATCTTGTGAGATTGTGGGTAACTGAATATAGTCGCTTGATTCTCCGTATAACTACGGATTCTATCTAGTGTTTATATAATGACAGACCACCTTATTGATTAACCCTTTGACGTCACGAAGCCTAGCTACGTAATCTCCAAATCAAGGCGAATATAACGATACTACCTACGTCAGATATAAAATAAGAGATAATATTAAAAGAGTGAGCTAATGTTATAGTTTTGGTGATACTTAACCGATAAGTCGGAGCTGAGCATTTAGTTCTGAAGATCTCCAACACGAACTTCTAGAGATCCTGACGATCTTCCAACATAAGGCTATCGGGGATTAGCCATCTAATAGATCTCATAGCGTTGAAGAAGCTTCCTCTTAAACGAGTTAAGATAAGTAGAGTGGCCTGGTTTTGCTAGGACTACGATATCATCTACGTAGAAGAAGACGATAAGCTTATCATCCATCCAAAGCCAAGAAGCATCGAGGACTGGTTTAAGACCAAATTTGCTCAGGGTCTGTGTAAGATTTTTGTACCAAAGGATTGGTGAAGTCTTGAGGCCGTAGAGTGCACGATGTAGTTTCCAAAGATGTTGCTTGTCATTAAATCCTTCAGGTGGATGGCAATAGACAGCTGTGTCAAGATCTGCGTTTGTGAACGCATTGACTACATCATACTGCCTGATATCGAGATTGAAGTAGGCGGCAATAGCTATGAGAGAGCGGAATATCTTGATAGCTAGGGTAGCAGCATGAGTATCTTCAGTAGTGGTTTGAAGATCTCCTCGTACGCAAATTCGAGCTTTGTACTTGAGAAGGTAACCTTCATTGTCAAATTTGTACTTAAACACCCATAGTAGTGGTAAAATCTCGTGTTTAATGGAGTTAAAATCTTTCCACAAGATTTCTTCATAAGTACCTTTTCTTTTGATAGTTTAAAGTTCCCGAAGAGTGGCTGCAATAAAACCTTACTTGTGCGGTTCTATCATTGCTTGAATATCTGACCAGTATCGGGGTTTAGATGGAAGTTGAGAACGGTGGAAGCGATGCTTAGTGTTGTTGGTTGAAGATACCACAAAGGTGGACCAATAATGGCTAATTGCGTAAGATTGTTTTTGAGATTTGGTTCTAGCTCTCTTTGATCCTTCAGGAAGAATATTTGATATGCGAAATTGAGCATCAATAGTATCCCTGTTAATAGTAGTATTGGAGCGTTTTCTTTTGCCAGATGATTGAGAAGATTGAATGGGTTATTCTAGTAAAGCATCTTCTATAATCGTTTGAGAACTAGTTATGCTACTTGTGTCTAAGGTACTAGATGGTGGCGGTTGAGACGAATTATCTGATCTAGGAGTAGGATAGTCATTATAATGAGTAAGGGTTATTGTAGAGCCTTTATCCTATACTATCTAATGAGACTCTTGCTGTTCCTCATATTCTAAAGATAAAGTAGGATTAGTAACATCTTTATCCTTAGAAGAGCTTTTAGCTTTAGGTTCTAGTATCTCAATAATGTGAATCATCTCCTTAAGTGACTGATTTTAAAGTAAGTTATTAGGCTAATCTCTATAGAAAGAATCTTCTTTAAAGAACATATTATAAGAGCGAATCACCTTCCCTTAATGACCCTTACTTAAGGCTTTGGGGATCCAAATGCGGAAAATATTTGTTGAATCATATCTAACCAGATAGCCAATATGAGCTCGAGGTGAAAGCTTGTCAGATCTTAGTATTATGTTCCTTAGAGGAAATGCTTTACACCCGAATACATGGAGGTGTGCTAGTGAGGGCTTCTTATTGTATACTTTCTCAAATAGAGTATCCCATTGCAGTGATTTATTTGGAGTTCGATTGAGTAGATAACTAGCTATAATATAAACCTCTAGAGCAAGATAGATAGGTAATTTTGTAGTAACCATCATTGATCTTAAGCGTTTAATGAGAGTTTTACTAGATCTTTCTGCAGGACTGTTCTATTCTAGCGTATATGGAGCGCGGACTTGAATCTGAATACCTTCTTCATAGCAATAAGCAATTATTGAGTCCTCTGCTGCAAAGCCATACCCTCTCTCTCCATCCATGAGGAGAAAAGTGCATGTGATATTGAATTCTCGCTTAAGTCTACGGTCTAGGACTTTGAGCACCTTTAGAAGGGTTTCCTTCTCTCGATTGGGAATTGAAAAGACAAAGTTAAACTTAGTAATAAGATAGTAACTATAAAGGATATACTTGTGTCCATTGTATCCTATTGCATCTAACTTGATAATGTTAATAGCAATTGATTCAAATGGTCTTATGGCACCATGTTCTCTTCCAGGTCGTCTTGAAATAATGTGATAAGCTTTATTGTTAGATATAAGCCTTACTGCCAAACTCGGCATTAAGGTCGGCCTTTTGCCGTAGTGGTATAATCTCACATTTATTGGCCAGGCATTGTTTATAATGGAACTTTGTTGGTGCTTCTCCAATAATCTTAGCGATACCAATGACTTTGGAACTAAGATAGTTAATTGCTTCTTTGCTAGGATGCCCCATAAGAAGATAAGCTTTAGTGGCAGTAAACTGACGTGGTTTACGGGGGTTTGTAGAGAAACGGTGTTGATTGGAGGAAGTAAATGTTTGGAATGGTCCGCGAGGTTCCGTAGAAGGCGGAGGTGTTTTAGTTCTATATAGAACGAGCTAATAACCTCCAACCTAAGTTAGTAAAGCAACAATCTCTCTAATTAGGCCTTTTTTATAGAGAGCGTTATTCCTAGAGTCGAAATGGATCCTAGTAGAGTTAAGCCGATATAGCGAGACTAACGAGGTGAAGAATGGTGGCACTAGGGCGATGTGTTTAAGAGTAGCCTTTTTGATTCCATTAGGAGTCAAGAATGGAATAATCACCTCTCCCCATGCTTGTATCTGCATTTCTTACCCTCCAGCTAGTATCACGTCATTGTCAGCTACTGGTGCTTTCCAGTGGAATTCTGTAGGGTTGTTGCAGATGTGGACGTCTGAAGCGGGGTCAAGAGTCCAAGAATGAAGTAATGGATATTGTTGAGCGGAGCCTTGGTTGAAATTCGACGAATAGACGGCAAAGAATCCATTACGTGAGGAAGGATAGAAGCCTAAATCAACTTCTAGTGGGTCTAAATCATGTACCTCGTGTTAGATAGTTCTGGGTTTCTTGCTACGTTCCCTATTTCTAGCTCGTATTCTGTTGAGGATTCCTTTCTTATCTTTAGCTTCAAACTCAGCAACTTTCTTGGCTTTTTCAGGGTCTTCAACAAATCCTCTTTCTCTAACACTCGGGTCAATGTAAGGACATTTACCCTAGATGTTATCATGACTGTCTCCATCTCCGGCTGGACAGGGCTTAGTTAGTTTCTTTTCCCCAAACTTTCTCTTCCTGTTATATGGAGAATCCTCTCCATTGAGAGTTGCAAAGACACCTCCATGAATATTAGCTTTCTTTGTATGTGTAGCTCGATAGTATTGGAGAAACTCATTGGTGAGATAATCAACTATGCATTCGGGGTCAATCTGAGCAGGGGCATTCTGACGACGAGCCTTAGTAAAGGTTTCTTGAGCTTTGAAGATCCTAATTCCCATGAGAGTAGTCTAAGTAGGTTCGAGATACTTGAAAGCTCTTATAAGATCTTTCTAAGCACGGTATCTAGAGACATCTGGTAAGTCCAAGCTTTTTGCCTTAATGTATACATTTGCGAAGTGATGGCACCAATCTTCAATGTTGTGACGACGTGGATCAAAGAGTTTCCCTTTATTGTACTGCTGTATAACAAGGTCCTCTTGATTTGCTTGAGTAGGAGCAAATCGGTTATAGAAGTACTTGAGAAGTTCGTGGACTGATATAGTAGTTTTAAGGGTAGGTAGGAAGGCCCTATCCACTGTTTTAGTGATATATACTCTGATAAGACCAAGTTTCTCTTGTTTGCGTTTAAATTGTTTAAGGGAATGCTTGTACTGATCAAACGCATCTGAGAATGGTTCTCCTTCAGCGGTAAGTGTTCTATTCTCGGCACGTCTGATAGGTATAATTGGTTCCTGTAGTGGTTCACAAGTCTTCTCTGGGTCAATGAGATCCCAAAGGCTGTAAGACTCGGCCATGCTTTTGATCATAAAGATCCAGGGAAGCCAGTCATTCATACTATAAAGAGTGACTTCTTCTAAGATCATCTTGGAATGGGTAGGCATGGTGGAAACAGAAGATAGTAGGTAAGTTGATGAAGATAATTGATAGATAGTTGAACAAGAAATGATTTTGGTAAGGTGCGGATTATGCCGGGCTCATAACTGTAAGGTAGTAATGGCATGTAAAGTGAAGAATATAGATTGAAGTGTCTGATCCAGAGGAGAGTGGAGGAGGACAGCATATATACCCGACTGAGTGCTTAGTCAGGTGCGATATATTTTAATTCCATTATATTGCATTACCTACAATACTGCGCATGTAGCCTTTAAGCTATAGCGCAACTTCCTATATACATAAATCCCTTTCCAGGGCCCTCATATGCTTAGTGAAGTCTCTAGTGGCTTAGTCCACTAATATTATTTACAAAGGAAAGCTAAGACCTCTAAAATCCATATAAAGGAAATTGTAGAAGCATCTATTCTTTCTCATTGCCATCGGTTCTTGGTTTCTAGTTCTATGCCATACATCTAGTTATCTTTTGTAGAATCTACTCTTCTACTCTGTTTACGTCTCCGGCATGCATTAGCCATCTAGCAGTAGAGATTTGAGTTCTTTCTATATATTTTTAGTAACACTTGTTTACCTAACTTTATGCAAAAAAGCTTTGTCATTGTTAGATCTGATCTGAGTAGTTTTCTCATTTCTCTACGTTCTCTAGAGTAGTTAGAG